GATGATGATGATGATGATGATGGGGGCGGAACAAGGGAAGAGAAGTGGTGGCTGGCCGGAAATTAGGTTCGTGAGCCCGTCCCTTTCTGTATTTTCTTTTTTATTTTAGTATTATGGATTATGGTAGCCATTTCCCTGTCGGGACCCTGTTTCCCGCCCAAAATGGAACACGGTAATAACTTCAAGGCTACCGTCTTTCCCCGATTAGAACGCACCCTGACCATGCCATCTTTCCGGTTGGATGCAGTAACGATAAGGGTGTGTGTTTTATTTGGAGGAAGACGGTAATTAAGGTTTGTGATTCGCGGGAAAATAACGATATGAGGGTGTGTTCTATTCGGGGGGAAGATGGTAATTAATGTTTGTGATTCGCAGGGAAACAGTATTAGGGGTGATAGGGGAGTTTTAATTTTTATTTATTTAAAAAAGGTATTAGGGGTGATCGTAGAATTGGTGCCAGTGCTCTGCACAAATGGACGGAAACAGAGCGCGCACGCTGATAAGGAATGTATACAAGCTATTTTTCCGGTCCGATACAGTCATGATGAGGGTGCGTTGTATTCGGGGGAAGACGGCAATTACGCTCTTTTGCTTGGCAGAGAATTAATATAATACTTGTCGATGATCCGGTTGTACCTTTCAGACAAAATAAGAACAGAAAAAAAAACAAAAAACAAACTAAAGTTGATTGGGTTATAATTGAAAAGGTGATGTGATGAGGGCGTGTTGTATTCGGGGGCAGATGGTAATTTAGACGAGGTGCTTCGCAGGAAATCAATGTGATGGATGATCGGAATATTATTTGGACAGAAAATGGAAAAAAAAAAAAAAAAAAAAGGATAATCGGTATATGCTGTTGAAAACGATTAGGGGGTGTTTTGTATTGGGAGGAAGACGGGCGTTAGTTGAGTTTTTCTGCTCTTCGGGGAATCAATGCTATGATGGATGATCCGGATTTTTTTTTTTTTTTTTTTTTTAAGTTCAACAAAAAAAAAGGACGATCACTCACCAGGATATACTTGCTTCAGAAAATAAAAATAAAAATAGAAATGAAAATCAATGTGGATGATAGTTGTGGCACCAGCCAGCACTGCAGAAACGAATGGGAAGAGGTGCTGCTGTTAATATAACCATCTTAAGGTCATACCCACAAGGGGACTGAATCTAGACGACTGTCACGTCTATAGGTACATCCAGGAAAATCCTCCTGTGAGTAGCACCGAGTTCACCATCGCCTCTAGCCATCTTCTCCACCCCCCCCCCCCCCCCTCGCCGTCTTGTCCCCCCATCATATCCCCCCAATAGTCAATTGATTGATTGCCTGATTGACTCCGAAGCAGCTTTCCGCTTCAACCCGGGGTAGCCTTTGCGTTCAATCGTCCATCCAATCAATCATCCAATGAATCATCCAGTGAATCATCCGGTGAACATTCAATGAATCATTGTGAAACGAATCATCCAGTGAATCATCCGGTGAATCATTCAATGAATCATCCAATGAACGATGAATCCACTTAATCAAGCAATCAGCGAACCAGCCAAGCGATCATTCAATCAACGAACCAGGCAATCAATCAATCAATCAATCATCCAATCAAACAACCAATCAGCGGACCAGTCAATCAATCAATCAATCAATCAATCAATCAATCAATCGATGAACCAACCAATCAGTCAGTAGATGGAGAAGTCGATCCACCAACGCAGTCGGCCAATCAGCCAAGCCAATTAAGCGATTGAACCAACCAATCAATCAACTGAATCAACAAACCGACCAGTGAACTAACCCATCAAGCAAAACCAACTAATTAGTCACTTAACCAAGCAATCAAGCAACGCATCAATCGAGCAACCACCAATCAGAGTTGGCCGAGTTAATTAAAGAAACCAATCAAGGATCAATCGACCGATCCGATCGAGGAAATCAGTTAGCCTGATCAATGACCTAATCAATTACCCAATCCCCGAACTAATCAAAGGATCAATCAACGAACCATCCAACAAATCACTCAACGAATCAATCAACAAGGCAATCAACGGGGACCAATCAACGGATCAATCGAGGAACCAATCAACGGATCAATCGAGGAACCAATCAACGGATTCATCAGAGAACCAATCAGCGGATCAATCGACGATTCAATCGAAGAACCTACGGAGATAAAGAAACAAAGACCAATCAGCCAAGCAATCAGCCAACCAGCCCCATTCCTTCAATCAGCCAACAACCCAAACAACCTACCTAGAGCAACGATATAACGCCTTGTCTTCCCGTCATGGCCCTGGTATTAGTGATTCTTCTATTCACGCACTCTTCTCTTGATTTTTTTTCATAGGGATATGATTGGGAGGCAAAAGATTCCTTCTCCTTTTCGCTCTTTCCTCCCGCTCTTGTCGGATATCTTCCCCGTTGCCGTCGTCGTCCTCCTCACCACGTATCCTCTCCATCACGGTCTTATCTGTTTCTTTCATGACCTATGTTCTTTCCACTCTCATCGTCTTTCCCCTTCTCCTCCTCTTCCTCCTCCTCCTCCTCCTCCTCCTCTTCCTGCTGTTCCCTCTCTTCCCCCTCCGTAATCACGTATCTTTGTCTTTGTCCTGTGTATTCCTTAACTCCTTCGTCTATGTTCTTTCCCCACCTTAACTCCTCTTCTTGCCGCACCTCTCCTTCCCTCTCCCCTCTCCTCCTGTCGTTCTCTCCTCCTCGTCCTGTTTCTTCTATTCTCCACTCCTCCTTTCTCTCCTCCTCCCCCTGTCGTTTTGTCCCTTCCTCCTCCTCCTCCTCCGTCTCATCAGGTAGATTTGTCTTCGTCTTCCCTCATCGCCTACCTTCTTTCTCTGTATTTTTCTCCTCTTCCACTCTCTCCTGTCTCCTCTCCTCTTCCTCCCCCTCCTCCTCTTCTCCTCCTCTTCCTCCTCCTCCTCTTCTCCTCCTCTTCTGCTCCTCTTCCTCCTCTTCCTCGCCCTGCTCCTCTTCTCGTTCTCTCCTTCATCTTTCCGCTCATCCTCCTCGGCCTCCTCGCCCTGTGTCCTTTTTTTCTTTTTTTTAATGAAAACCATCATGTTATAACCCGCCTCCAGCTTCAGAGCAGTTCCTCGTCATCAATCCATTTCTTTGTTCTCTTCCGTGTGAGCTCGTTGTCGAACGAGGACGAATGCCCCGCCCCAGCGCCCCCCCCCCCCCCCCGAAAAAAAAAAAAAAAAGGAGTATGAAGATGGATGTCATTTCTCCCTTTCTATCTCCTTTCTATCTCCTCCCTCCTGTCCTCCCTCCTCCGTTCTTCCTCCCAATTCCCCTCGCCCTTCTCTTTGTGGCTCTTCTCCCTCCTTTTCCCTCTTCTCCTCCGGTCCGAACCCTCACCTCCTCCTCGTCTTTCGCTCTCTCCTTCGGCTTCCTCGTTTTTCTTCTTCTCTATCAGATGCGGTTTATTAATTGCATTGTGAGTTAACCCTGTTTCAGCTTTTTCCCTGATTCTTTTATTTGTAGAAGAAATAATCCGCTGCCCCCTTAGTGCTGTTGACCCTTGCCCCCTTCAGATGTGTATAAGAGACAGGGCGGAGATCATGGCGGTAGACGGCGGCGGGAGATGATGGATAAGAGGTGGTGCCCGGGGATATGCCGGCGGGAGATGACGGATAAGAAGTGATGGCGGAGGATGACGGACGGAGATGAAGGCGGAAGATAATGGAGGGGGGATATGATTGGGAGNCCCCAACCCTACCTCTCCTTTTGAGAGCACCACTTTTCGGTGCTGATCTTGGACTGGAAACAAAAATTACCAAATTAAATTCCTTCAGAAAATAAAAAAAGGCTTGGTTGTTCAGTTCCTGGCCACGTTTTCTGTATCTCCCCCCACATCTCCCACCCCATCTGTCCCCTTCTGTCGCCCCCCTCTCCCTCATCTCCCCCCCCCTCCCCTCCCTCTCCCTCCCTCCAACGACAGCAGGACATGGAGTAGGCGGATTAGTTAAGCTCCACTGCTCTTGCGTCAGGGCGCGTCGTAACTCTTTTCTGGCTTCTCTCCTCCCTCTCCCATCTCCCCTCTTCTACCTCCCCTCCCTTGGGATTCTCGGAGGAAGAATGACAGGCAATCCCGGGGATGCTGAGATGACAGCCTTCATTCTCTTTGCCTTTAACGCTCTCCTCACCTGCCTCTTCTTCTTGTTCTTCGTCAATGCCATAACCCCATGTTCTTTCTTATCCCTTAGGCTGAGCCTGTTCTTGCTCCCTCCAGACCTTTAACCATGTCCTTCCTATTTCCCCTCTTCCCCCTCTGATGAGCCGCCATATGAGAAGAGTGATGAAAAGTACTTTTTCATACCCTTCTACTCGGTGATGATGTCCAGTCGGATCCTGGAAAGAAGGAACATTGGTCTCTCTCTCTCTCTCTCTCTCTCTCTCTCTCTCTGTGTGCGTTGGCGGTCCATGTCCTTTTTAATGTGCATATTGTCAGCTTCAAAATTCATTCAACTCTCTCTCTCTCCCTCTCCCTCTCCCTCTCCCTCTCCCTCTCCCTCTCTCTCCCCCTCCCCTCAATCTGACTTCCTGTTCCTCGTCTTCCTACATAGTCATGATGTTAGCTCACTGTCTGTGTAGAGTGTGGGCGGATCGTGGAAAGAAGGAACATCTTCCCATCTCTCTCTCTCTCTCTTCTCTCTCTCCCCTTCTCTCTCTTCTCTTTCTCAGCATCTGACTTCCTGTTCGTTGTCTTCCTACGATCCCTCTGAGGATCACTTTTGGGAAACTGGCAAGTGCCAATCATCTTCGGTTCTGGCGACGAGAGCCTTAGAGAGGTGTGCATTGAGTGCTCTTGTGTGTGTGTGTGTGTTTAATGGATCTTGTTTCTTGCTGCATGAATTTCGTGCTGAGTTCTTTCTCTCGTCTCGCTCGTCGCTCTCGTCTTATCTTGTGAATTTTGCTTGACGAGTCAAATAATGACTAATTAGTAATTACAGGCGGTTTTTTTTTTTTTTTTTTTTTATCCCCCCCCCCCCCCCCC